CAGAGGTTGAAAATATGAGTTCTGGTGTCAGGCTGTCTGGATTTGAATCCAAACTGCTCTTAACTGTGAGACTTTGGGCAAGTTATTTAACTTCTTTGGTCTCATTTGTAAAATAGAAATAATAACAGTACCTACATTGTGAACAGTTGTTTTGAGGATTAAATAAGATAATCTATGTATGCTTAAAATAGTATTTGGCACATGGTTAGCACTCAAAAAATGTTGGCTATTATTATCACCAATGGGACAGGGACCGGCAACGGATCGCAACCCTCAGTGTCGCACCTGTACTGGACCGGGACCGGCAACGGGATCGCAACCCTCGGTGCTGTGCCCGCACCTCGCTCAGCCAGTGAGCGGGAACCGGTCTGTATGTGGGATCCGAACCCTCGGCGGGAGCGCCGCCGTGCTCCCAAGCGGCGCACTGTAGCAGTGTGCCACCGGGCCGGCCCTTGTTAAGACTATTTTTACTCTTCTATCCCTCTAGACATTGACTTTACTAAAAGTTTTTTTGTGTGTAGTCCCTTGAGAAGGGACAACAAGGAAGATACAGGTGTGTATGGAAGATGGGTGGGTAGACAGAGACGTAGTTATGGAAAAGATTATCTGATGAAACTGTCAGAAGTGATAAAAATGAATGTATTACCTGTTGAGTTTGAGTGACCATCTCCTTATAGATAGTATCCAGGCTGACATTTGATAACATGGATAGTGCTGATACAATTGTTTCTGCTTGTGTTTTGTCAAATCCTGTAGGCAGCAAATAGGTATTTATATTTTTTAAAAAGTGTATATCCTTATCAAATAACTTTCCTCAATATTGTTATACTTTAAAAAAAACGGTTACAATTAGAAACTACAAATAATGATAGATTACTCTCTAAAGCACTCTACAATTTTCATTTGCACTGATATAATTCCCCACATCTATGTCAACACTGGATATTACTAGTGTTTATTATTTTTGAATGTATAATTGGCATAAAAATAATATTGCATTTATTTTACTTTGCACTTAAACTTGCATTTTCTTGGTTGGTAGTAAGGTTAAGCATCTTTACATATATTTTTTGGTTACTTATAGTTATTTTCCTGTGTACTGCTTGTTTATAGCCTTTGCCCATTTTTCCATAAAATTGCTTAACTTTTTCTTACTGATTCCTAAGAACTCTTTTACATTTAGCTTTAATCCATCAGGAATTTAGTTTTCAGTAATGTGATCTAATATATTTTTTCCAATGGCTAGTAATTTATCATTCACGTCTTATTAAATAGGACTATTTAATAAATTCCTTTCCCTAATTTGTAATGCCTTCTTTATCACATGCTAAATGCATATATGTTTCTAGATATCATTCCGTTCCACTAATCAAGTTTTCTGTTACTGTGATATCACATAATTTAAATTACTCTTTGAAAAGAGTCTGGTAATTTTTTGTGCTTGTTCTTTGATTTTTCAAATAAAGTTATTCTTGAACATTTGTACTTCATGGACTTCAATATCAACCTAGAAACACTAGTTTTTTCTTTTTACTTAATTGGAATCATTCTGTACATATAATTTTATATAATGCTTTTTCAATTAATATATCTTGAGCATTTCCCATATCAGTAAATATTCTTCAGGCAATACCATTTTTTTTTTTTTTTTAAAGATGACCGGCAAGGGGATCTTAACCCTTGACTTGGTGTTGTCAGCACCATGCTCACCCAGTGAGCCAACCGGCCATCCCTATATGGGATCCGAACCCGTGGCCTTGGTATTATCAGCACCACACTCTCCTGAGTGAGCCACGGGCCGGCCCAGGCAATACCATTTTTAATGACTGTAAAATATTCCATTTTATGAATGGTACTTCTACTTAAATAGTTACTCTTAATTGTTCGAAATAGTAATTCTGTCTTGACTAAATAATTATATGAGTGCTGTGAATTTTGTTCTTTCAGAAGGTACCCATGTTTCTCACCATGAGTTTCCAAGTCTTGAATCAATGCATGGGTATCAAAAGTTAATTTCCTTTGTTCTAAAGGAGTTATGTCCACTGGCCTCCTATCATATCCTTCCTTGGTTGTGGTGGTGAAGAAGTCTGAAAGAGAAGACAATGAGAATTTATTTTTCTTGTAAACTGATAGAGGAATAACACTTTAGCTTCTCAAGCATTTTCCCCATCTATTTTTTCATATAGTTCCAGCTCTTCTAATGAGAAGTTCTGTAATCTCACATAAGTTAATTGAGTCCTCGGAGCCCCTCTTTTATCTGTAAGTGTCCGACATTATTCTGTATATAGGAAACATTCAATAAATGTTTCCTTTTCTTCCTTCATTATTCAGAAATGTTTTGTTGGGAGTCAGTCTAAAATTATAACATACATCAATTGTTTTGGATATCACTGCCTCAACTCTAATTACTGGAGAGCAGAAACTGTCTTCTTCTTTTGAGCACTTCTCAGTGCTCAGCAGAAGTCTTTCATAAAGTTATGAAAATTTGTTTACACCTATATCCCTCTGTCTAAAGTAGCTTTCCATACTCCCATTCTCTTACATATCCACATAGTTTATTTCCTACACAGTTCCTAGTTCTAAACTGAAATTATCTTGTTTGCTGTTTGTCTCTTTGAACCAGAACATAAGCTCTGTGATTCTTTGTGTTTTTCACTACTGTATCTTCAGCACCTAGAATAGTGCTTTGGTACGTAGTTGGGTCACAATATTCTACTGTTGAATTAATTGATGAACTTGATTTTAAATCCTGGAGTATTTACTGGTGTCCACAAAAGAGCCCTAGAAAAAATTTCTCATTTTTAAAATAATTCTTCTTGTACTTTTTCAATAGATTCCAAATTTTTACCCTGGACACAATACCTATACTTGTCTATATATTGCTGATGAATTTTGTTATAGTAGTCCTCCCTTATCAGAGAGATACATTTCAAGGCCCCTGGTGGATGCCTGAAGCCACAGATAGTACCAAACCCTATACATACTATGTTTTTTTCCTTTGATTTGATAACTGAGATGGGTAAGTGACTACCTGGGGAGTAGAGGGGTAGCATATACACCGTGGATATGCTAGACAAAGGGATGATTCACGTCCTGGGTAGGACGGCAAGATTTACTACACTACTCAGAAGAGTGCACAATTTAAAACTTACAAATTGTTTACTTCTGGAATTTACCATTTAATATTTTCAGACTGCAGTTGTCAACAGGTAATCGAAACCATGCAAAGCATAACTGAAATAAGAGGGGATGATTACTGTATAAGATACTTGCTTTGGGGGAGAGCTCTGCCCATACACAACTTCTTTACTATTACTGTTATTAAGTAAAATAACTGCTAATTAGTTAATCAAACATGAGGTACTATACCAGATATTTTATATATTACCAAGGCTAGGTGGTATTATTCACATTTTTAGATTTAAAAAAACTATGCTTAGAAGAGGTAAGGGGGTTTCCCTAAGGTCACAGAGCCAATGGCAGAATAAGGATTCAGACTCAGGTTCTTCTGACCCCAAAGTTCATGCTATTTCCATTACCCCATGCTCTATTATTTATCCTAAGCCATTTAAAATACCTAGGTACTTAAAAGACATAGTTGCAAATTCAGCCATTACTTTTCTGCTAGTATTAAATAGGGCAAATGTGATTTCCTTCCTGTATCTTTCTAGCCAACATATATTTACTAATTGCCAGGCCCTGTGCTAAGCACAGGGGATAAAATGATGAGCAAAACCAGACATAACCGATGTCCTCAACTAACAGGTAGGAAACAGATGTTATTTTTAAGAAATCTAAGTATCAACTCAATTCAAATGAAAAGATATAAAGATTCATTAAAAATTAGAAGGATTCTATTTAGCTAGAGGTAAGAGGAAACAGCTGTAAAGGTAGAGCAATTTTTAAAACACATATTAGCACACTGGTCAGCAATCTTTTTGGCTTGAATGCCATTTGAAGTGTTCAGAAATATGCATTTGTGTGTCAGTGTCAGATCTAAGGTAGGAGAGAAAAAGAAAAATGAGAGGAAAAAGAGGGGCAGATTTCAATAGTAGTTCTAATAATAATTGTATCAGGAGTAATGATTTGGTACTTAAGTTACCTACCCCTGATTACTAGTTCATTCTTTTATTTGGTGTTTAGAAAAAAAAAAAGAGTAATAATACTTATGTAACATTTTACTGTTCTCACAGCTATTACTCACTCCTTAAAAGTCTTATTTTATGGATGAGGAAAGTTGGAAGCCCAGAGCTAAGTAATTTGTCTGAGATCTTATGGACTGATAGCTAGGTAGATTAGTACAATTCCTCTGATTTTAATCAACAAAAATTTTGAATACCTTGCACAAAGAGCAGCTTCCTGCTAAATCTGGGATACAGACCAACTACCTTAATAAGATTGCCAACAAATCTTTGCAGGGTGCAGTTCCAAGTCTCATGTCCCACTATTCTCTCCCTGGCCCTCTGCATTTGATTTTAATTCCACAAACATGTCATGTAACATTCCTTTTCAGAGCCTTTGCTAGCCCATGTTCAGAAAGATCTCCTTTCTTTGCCTGCTCATATTTTTTCTTCAGATCTCATCCTGAACGTCTCTTCCTCTGGACTGTCCAGACTCCTTCAGGTCAGGTCTTTCATAGTACCCTGTAACATTCTTTTGCAGTACCTCCCACAATTTTCACATTTATGTGACTGCTGTTTATATAGTTGTTAATTGTTTATATTGGTCAGCCAACAATAGCCCACAGGCTACCACCATCTGTTTTTAATAGTTTTATTAAATAAAACTAAACAGTTTGGGCCGGCCCAGTGGTGCACTGCTACAGTGCGCCGCTTGGAAGCGCGGCGGCGCTCCCGCCAAAGGGTTCGGATCCCACATACAGACCGGTTCCCGCTCACTGGCTGAGCGAGCTGTGGGCGCAACACCGAGGGTTGCGATCCGTTGCCGGACATGAAAAAAGACAAAAAAAAAAAAAAAGAAAAATAAATAAATAAATAAAACTAAACAGTTTTACTGGAACACAGCTCATTCATTTATGGATTATGGATTATCTGTGGCTACTTTCATGCTACAATAGCAGGAGTTTTGACTGAACATATAGCCCACAAAGTCTAAAATATTTTCTGTCTGGCTCTTTACAGAAAAAGTTTGCTGACCCCTGCACTAAAGTCCTTGAGAGCAGGGACCATATCTGTTCTTGCTCACCATTGGATCCCCGATGCCTAACAATTCCAGATGCTCCCTAAATATTTGTTGAACCAAAGGCACTGTGCTACTGTGCTCATCGTTATGCGTACAGTGATGAATAAGGCTGTGGTTTTTAATAATGTAATGTCAAGATTTACCCATAAGGAAATATAGAAGAGAGACATTTGGGCCTCCTTGAGAATAATGGATCAATAATGGCTATTGGGAAATAGTGCTAGAGCTATATTAAATCTTAGAAATTATTCAGACAGGATGAACAGAATGAACAAAATTCACCAAGGCATGAGCTGCCTTTGCTATTCCCACCTTGGGTTATATTTACTATGGGGCTGAAGAGAGCTGAGGGGAATACAGAAGGATATGTGGAATATTTATTCCTTATATATACTCAAATATTCATGTAATATTTTACTTATTTCTCACAATCCCTTGAAGTAGGTGTTGACACACTCCCTGGTAGTAGGACTTTGGAGGGTTTTACTCCTCTTTGGAGGCAATAAACTGAAAAAGCCAAGGATATTCCAAGTATGGTGTCAGTAATGTCCTGACTGTGTCATGAGGAGTCTGACTCATATGCATTCTGTAAGTCTTTGCAGGCATATTAATAGGCAGAGGAGAGGAAGTGACCAGAATCAGTGTTTCCAGTTCAAGGTAGAATAGCAGGTCCTTAATACTTAAAAAAAAAAAAAAAAATCCAAGAATTTAACATCTGTACGAAATTCCAAACCTTTCCTTTCATTGTTCTTCTTTTGATCCTTTCATACCTATCCATGTTTTTTTGTTTGTTTGTTTATGGTGACAAACTCAAAATATAAAGATTTAACCATCTTCACAAAGCTATTAAGTTGTATATTGTGATCAGAACTCTGGCCTATCTTATACCAAGCTCCTCTTTGCTGGAAAGGGCCACATTTTACGTTTGAAACAACATGTAAAACAGTATCTATGTCATTAAATCTAAGCTGCAACTTTTATATTAATTTACTGCTAACTTTAGAGCTGAAAAACTTCGGTGACATCGCTGGTTATTTTCTGTCAGGAAGTCAAAGAAAAGGCATTACCACGTATATTTGTACATTCTGGTCTACTGATGTGCTAAGCTAGTTGCATCACAATTGCCAGGATTAATAAACAATAAAGTAACACAGAGATCCCTGGGCTCCACCCCTAGATACTGACTCAGCAGTTCTGTGATAGGGCCAGAGAATCTGTATTTTTATTTATTTTTTGGTGGTTGGCCGGTACAGGAATAGAACTCTGGACCCTGGTGTTATCAGCACCAGGCTCTAACCAACTGTGTTCACCGGCCAGCCAGAGAATCTGTATTTTTAAAAGCCTCTTCAGTGTTTCTGATGTCCTTGCCAAGTTTGAGAAGTAGTAATAAACTAGGAATCCAGCACTATTGGGCATAAAACTTAGACAAATCACATCATCTTCCCATGCCTTTGCTTATTAATCTGTAAAAAGGGAATTGAGCTAGATGATAATTAAGGTCCTTCCATGGATCAAAGGTGAAGGTTTTCAAATTCCTTGACGGTTGACATTAGGCAAGTTTAAACTTGCCTAATTTACTTGTACACAGTAAATACTCAATAAATATTTGCTTAGTGAGGAAGACCACAAATCATATTCATTGTAAAGGAAGACTTGAGGTTTATCCAAGAACACTCAGAGTCAATAGGATAACTGAACAATTCAAGTGTTAACATTTATTTATGGTGATGTATTTTCCAGTATGATATGTGCTTCATTCTCTAAAAATGTTTAATTTTGTGTTCATTTGAATATGTAGTTTATCTCTTAACGCTTACAAAAGTGAGATTTGGATGATTTCCCTGGCTTCAAAAAATGCTACCTCCTTTTTGTAAAGTTCATCATAATGTGGTATGCTCAACACCCAAATATGTAACCAAAGACCTCAAGAATGACCCTAGCAGCTAAACAGCCATCTTACATATGGAGGATCAACAACTGCAGTCTTGAGTGCAGCTGTCACTGGTGTGAATAAAATGAAACAATGAGCAAAACAGCACAAATAACAGTGTGGAGGTGGGAGAAATGTGTTTGGGTACCAAACGGCTCAGTTTACCTGGCACTGAAGATTCAGGAAGGTGAACAGAGATGTTACGGTTGGTACAAGGTGCATACTTTGTGGACAATCTTAAAAGAGTTTAATTGGGTGGGGGGGAACCTTGAAAATATTCCTCTGAATAAAATCAGATGTTCTACACCACAGACTACTAACGGGTGCCAACTGGTTGGAAACTTGTAGATTACAGCACTCACTTTTTTTTTGAACGGCTACTGTGTGATTGTAAAGTGATGAGAATTATAGTGAGAATAAAGCAGACCTGACTTGAAATGCATGATGCAGTCTATCAAAAACCTAGGCTTGAGGCCAGCACCTAAATAACAATCTCAATTTGAACAGGCCACAAAAGAAATCAGGACACCCCCAAACACAGATTCTTGCGTTTGCTCCTAAAAGACCTACGAGATTACCGGCCTAATGTTACATAAAAAGGAAACGAGCTCAGAAAGAAGCCGAGTGGAAACCCAGGCCTGCAGAAGCTCGCTCTCAGAAGAAGGCGGTCCTCCTCCCAGTCCCCGCCTCGGTTCCAAGGGGCGAACCGGACAAACCAGCGCCCGGCGTGGGTTGGGGAGGTGGGCGTGGCACCCAGCCTACCGTTCGCCCGAGCAGGCACGACCCACGGGAATCGTCTCCCGAGAGAGCACTCAGGCACCCGAGGCACAATGCCTAGTCTCACCTCTCCGCACGACCGGCGAGGAACGCCCTCGGGGGGTTGATACCCAGCGGCCCGCTACGCCTTCAGAACGCAGGAGCCTCCAAGCCCAGCCAATCCTCATGGCCTCAGAGTTTTCCGATTGGCGGGAGGAGGAGTTAAGACGGGGCGAACTCGCTCAGGCTTTCGGGCAAGGTAGTTCTGGCACCGCAAGAATGCTGGGAAATGTAGTTTTCCGTCCGTCACAAGACCACCGCCCAGCGCAGGCTCGAACCGCGGTCCCGCGAAGCTGGGCCTCTTCACAGACGGACCCACGGTTCCCTAGCATGGTTCGGAGCTGTTCCGCTTCCCCCACCACCCCTTCCCGACCTGTGCACGCCGTTACCGCCCGAAGAAAGCGAGATCTCGTCAGAGAACCTTCCGGCGCCCGTTTCCTGGCAGTGAGGCACAATCCAACAGCAGAGTCTTCTTAGATAGCCAGAGACCATTACACGCTTGAGTCATACCTACCCGTCAGAGAACCTTCCGGCGCCCGTTTCCTGGCAGTGAGGCACAATCCAACAGCAGAGTCTTCTAGATAGCCAGAGACCATTACACGCTTGAGTCATACCTACCCGTACAGCAATCTGGGACCTGAAGTCCTCGACCGCTGAGCATTCTGGGGAGTCGCGTTGCGCGCGGGGGTGGGGGTGGGGGCACGAAGCCTTCTGGGAAATGTAGTCTAGCGTGCAGCTTTTTCTCGCTGTTTCGCACTCCGCTGTTCTACCCTCTCATGCTGTGGATGACCAACGACAGCCGTCCCTCCCTAATGGGGGCACGAAGCCTTCTGGGAAATGTAGTCTAGCGTGCAGCTTTTTCTCGCTGTTTCGCAGTCAGCTGTTCTACCCTCTCATGCTGTGGATGACCAACGACAGCTGTCCCTCCCTACACGCGGGTTCCAGGACCCCCCTCCCCCACTCTTCGGTATACCAAAATTCCGCAGGTACTTAAGTCTCCGGGAGCCCGAATATATGAAAAGTCTGTCCTGTTTACAGACGGGTTCCGCATCCCACGAATACTGTATTTTCGATCTGTGGTTGGTTGAAAAAAATCCGTGGACCCACGCAGTTCAAACCCTTGTTGCTCAGGGGTCAGCCGTGTTTTAGTTGGCTTAATCTCTCTTCAGGGACACTGAAGTCCTCTGTATAGGGAACCTAATTTCACCGTGTATCCCTCTCAAACCAGTTACTTCAGACTTAGCTGCACGTGGTAAAATACCGAAAATAACAGTGCAAAGTATTTGTGGTGTTCAAATGCGCTAATATATGCGAATGTTCTTTGTAAATCCTAAAATGGCACATAATCGTTAGGTTTTAGTGGTTTAATTCTCACAAGGATCTAAACAGTTGCCTCTAGGTTTCCTACCTGCCTGTATTCAAAGCTTTGTTGAGAGTTGGCTACGTTACAAGCACCATTTTAAGCACCGACGCACATCGAAAGGACAAAACTGATTCCCGCCAGCAGGGACTTTAGCAGACAATTCGTGGAGAGGAAGTATAAATGGCTATTTTTAAAAATGGGGGATGGGGGAGTTTAATCTCACCAGTTTTTTTTTTTTTTTTCTTTAAAAAAGCAAAACATAAGGATGTACCATTTTTACCTATCAAAGATTTTTTTTTTTTAAATGATAATTCCCAATGCTAGCAAATATGCAATTAGATAGGTTACGCTGCTGGCAGAAGTATAAATTAGTACAACATATTTGGAGAGCAATTTAGTAATATATATGAAATTCTAAAGAGTGAATAGCCAATATCACTTCTAAGAAGTTATCCTAAGAAAATAATCACATCTGTAGCTAAGATTTTTAAAAATGATAACCATTGCAGTATTTACAGTAGTGAAAAATTGGAATAATGTAAATATTCAAAAGTGATTTAATAACTTTCAGAAATGTCCCAAGTTGGAATATTATGCAATCATTAAGTATTTTTAAAAATAATCTTAGAAACAGGAAAATTACTTTATGAACATAAAAACATAATTCTGTTAAATGGTGTGATCCCAGCTCTGGAGGAGCTCACAGTCTGGTGGAAAGTACAGACCAGTAAGTGGGACCACAATATTAACATTTTTACTTACCTTAAGTAATGATAATGAAAAAAACTAGAACTCTTTATATATTAATACTTGTTTATATTAGTGTAAAGCTCTTTCTTCAATATACATATACAGTGTTGATTATTGACCTGACCATAGTTGGCATGTTTTCTTTTGTGGAGATGGCAATTAGATTCAGGGATTCTTAATCTTCCCAGGGTGGCTGAAATTGTGGCAGGTGAGCTCAGGAGCTGGGGGCAACCATATTCTACCAAGTAGGCCAGAGAGGTACAGCAAGAGAGAAGCAGGGATAGCAGATAGGGAGAGACCAGATGGTATTCAGCTAATAGATATAGCTCCTTCCTGATGCTCCTGTGTGTTTTCAGATTTTCCAAGGTTGCTATCATTTGTATACTGCAAGTCTTAATTTATAAAAATGTTTTCCCATAAATTTGTTAATATTTCTCATAAGTTTGTTGAGAAGAATAAAGGAGATAATGCATATAAAATACTTAGCACAGAAACTGGCACATAAAAGCACCCAGTAAATAGTAATAATGCCTGTTGACTTTATTCAATGTTGGGAGATAATTCTCTGTGGGTCTCTCATTTTTCTGCATGTCTTGCAAGCAGAGGGCTTCTCTGCCTTTTGTTATGAAGTCTCTTTTGAGGCAGTTTGTATAATGAACAGTCTTGGGAAATATGAGTTATTGTCTCCTTTAGGGACCCCCGTGCTCTTTTCTGTGATGCTCAGAGTTGAGCACAATTGCATGAGATGGCCAGAGGCCAACTAGCACTGCGCCTACAGCTCTGGTGGCTTGAAGGAGAGAGGATGCAGCCTGGACCACTCACATTTGTCAGTGCTTTTCTCCAGGAATAGGTGATGTGAAGGAATCCCAATGTATTTTTTAAAGTAGGTGAACAGGGCATTGAGAAAGAGACAGCTCTGGACCCAATATAGGTATAATTTTCTTCTTTAGCTTACTTGGAGTTCTTGACACTAGGGGGAGTAGGTGGAAAGGACAGAGGACAATTCTTTTCTCTTATTTCTGAAGCTGATTTTATAGTTATTGTGTAATCCCTGAGTCAGAGGAGCCCATTGTCACAAAAGGTTTGTGTAACTCTATGTGAATATCACATTTTTCATGGCTTGAAAGTGACCACCAACCCCTACCCACTGCAAATCTGGGGGGAATTTTTTTTTCCTGATTGTACTAGGAGGCTGGCAATGACACCAGTTACAAGTTTGCTGATTACAATGAATCAAAGGAAAGATTAATTAAAAGAAAAGAGGACAAAAAGAACTGTCAAAACATTATCTTGGTGTCTCTCACTGATTATTCTTGGTGTCTCTCACTGATTATTCATTCCACTAATCCTTATTGAACACTTTATGTTGCCAGGCACTGTTCTAAGCCGTCAGTAAACAGACAAGACACAGTCCTGCCCTCAGGTTGCTATCAAATTGTAATAAACAGCATGATGAAGGGACGTACTGGCTGTCAAGCGAATGCATAAGAGAGACTTATACTACCCTAAGCAGGGAGCCCTGGAAAGGCTTTAGTTTGGAAGGATGAGTAAAATGTAGTTTAGTTAAATGGATTTGGTGGTGGTGGGAAGTATGTTGTGTGCAAAAGGCAACGGCACCTGAAAAAGCTGGGAAGCATGCATGAGAGAGCCTGGTTCATTTGGGAAAGGAGAGAATGGCTGGAGTGATGTGTTGAGGGTAGAGGGATTTGGAAGGTGAGGTTGGAGAACGTGGGGCTGGTCCTCAAGATCTGTTTTACTTCATCCATTGTTGCTTTGTGTTGCTTCACCCCCCACAGATTTGTCACCCCAGTTCCCCAGGTGACGGAGACGCAAAGGATAACTCAAAGCCCATCTCTTCTGAGCAGTGAGAAGCCCCGAAATGGTTAACTTCCCTGGCAATGCTCCAGTGAGAGGCAACCCTTCCTTGGTAAATTAACCCTGAATCGGGGTTCTCTTCCTGCATTTATTTTCCAGATCAAGAAGTTACAGGAAGAGAACATAGGTGGGATTATAGTTTAACAATATAGGCTGGTAACTTTCAGTGAAACAAGCCAGATGACATTCCAGTAGACAATTAAGTGGTCCTATCAACAACAGCTTGATCTTAGCAAGCATTCCTTCTCCCTCCAACAATTTTCCAGTATCTACACATATCAAGCAGTAACCTGTCTGTCCTTGAGCCAGCAACCTTGCTGTGCCACAAATCTTTATCTTACACCAGAGACTTTAGAGCCCGGGGAAATTTTCCAGTCCTCCGCAAGGTCAATATTTGAAACCACAAGGCTTTGGAAAACCAGGCCCTATGAAGTACATATGCTTTATAGTATATTCCACAATCCATGGGTAAGGGGAATCACTAAAGGGTATTAGGCTGGGTAGTGGCATTGCAAAGTAAAAGTCATTGCCTGCTTTTGCTCAGTCCTCCTATCTGGACCTTTCTCTTAGCAATCAGGGCCATGTACTTCGCCTTGAAGGTCCCTTGTCCTAGGTACTGACCTAGAAGACCTTAGAGATCCCTTCCTTTCTAAACTAGGGATGAAACCTTGCCTGGCAGAGCTTATAGCTCGAGCCTCAAGGTACTTGATCAGAGAAGCCGTCTTTGTTGCATAGCTTGGCTGCCTCAGACCTCACAGGGACCTACGTGAGAAATAGGATTTGGGGTCTCAGCTTTGGAGACCAGTTTCTGCATTGGGGTATAGGGCAGCTCGAAAATCTCACCAAAGCCTCACCATGACCTATGTTCTTCCTATCCCCAACAACAGGATGGAGCATTCTTCCCCCAAAACTCTTTGTATATAGGTGTTGCTTTACCTCTTTTAGAGCTCATTGATGTACAGTAGCTCATTTGAGCTCCTTAGCTCCATGAGCTGGGTATCATTGCTCCTATTTTACAGATGGGAAAACTGAGGTTCAGAAGCTGAAGTGACTTTTCCCAGGTCACAGAGTAGATAAGTGATGGAGCTTGGAATTGAACATGCTGCACACTGTACAGAGAGTAACCCCTGTTCTGTCCACCATTTATTTTCACTGGGCACAGGGCACAAATTGTGAAGTCAAGTGTACTCTTAGGGACACATGGCTTTTCATCCCCCAAGAAGTCATTTTACATCTTTTTCATTTGTCTAAGAAAACAAAATATATAGTACAGGGATAGCAAATAAGTTTTATCCTCATGCCAACTTCCTTTAGTGACAGTAGCTGCTTGGAACAAAGCAGTGAGGATTGTGAGGCCACATTCTGGCACAGCAGGAAAGACTGCCATGACTGGTAATGCCTGCTGTGAATGCAGGAGTGGGAAGGGGTGGCACCTATGCATCTTTTAGATCATGTATTCCCCTGGGGCTCCCATAATCCCACTCTGGTCATGACATTTCCACTGACCCCTGCCTTCATCCCCAACACCCATTTTGCTCATTTTCTCTTATTCTTTCCCTTCCCTTCTGCACTGTTCCTGTCCTTTTAATAATAGCTCCAATTTACTGCACTTATACGGGGTGCTAGGCACTTTGCATATATTATTTTCAGTCC